CAGGCAGAAGTCGTGTGAACGATTCCCTTCTGTATGTAGGACAGACCCCTGAAGGGCAATCACAGATGTGGTCCCGTGTACGGAAAACACTGGACAAGAGCGCTAAGGGCCTTGCAAAGAAGCTGCTGCAGCTGCAAATATTCTTCTTGTATCAGGCTGTTGTCTAGGCGCTCTCTCATCTGCAACGCTCTCTCGCCTCATACTCTCCTCTCTGCGCTTAGTCTCTCATTCCCTTAGCACAGCCGATTATGAAGGGGAGTGAGCCCTCAACCTAAGCGTTTTCGATGGATTCTTTTCCTTTTGTCTTCACTGTCCGGCCCCTATGGCACCAGTACATTCGTGTTCTTACGAACCACACCAATTTGATCCTGGAGGACGCCTTTAATAAATCCCAACTTGAGAAAAGGTCTAATATTAACGTCTCAATATACTTGTGATTAGAATTTTCCCAAAAAATCGTTATCGACATTGAGGCCAAAAAAGAAAACAAACGAGCCAGAAATCTCTATTTCGACTTTTTTTTTCTATTCTTTTTCGTGCTCGTTTGGCAGGATGGATAGCTCTCCAATGAGGTCTATTTAGCTGCATTCAACCATCAACCCTAAGAGTGTATCCAGCAAATCAAAATCCAATCGATAATCGAACAAAACAGTAGGGGACCAAAACATGGAACAATCTATCCAGGCAGATCATCAGTGTCCTCAAAAGCATAACAAGAGCGAAAACATCGCACAATACAGTGCCGATGGGGAGAAGTGTCTGCTGGGACGCCTACGACAAAGATCACTTCAACCCATTCGTCGATCGTGACAAGGGATTCTCCTGTCTCCGTTTTGTTGTTCGCTTGGTGTAACTTCGACGACCCGATCGCTCGATGAGAGTGGTACGATCAGTGCGATGGCAGTATGACTGAACAGACAGGGGTCTCGAACCCTTGGGCTATAAAGAAGCGTAAACCTGAAAGATGAGGTCTTGCCAGGTATAGAACCCAAGCTGGGAGACTATAAACTGCAGCCGATCTAGGCGGGGTGGCATGGTAGGGAAAAACCACCAACACAGTGATTTCTTCCCGTTAGAGGCCCTGTGGTGGTTAACAAAGGGCAAAGATTGCAGATGAATACTCTCGGGTGATCCCCTCCCCGCCAGTCCACAATGTAAAAGCAGGGTACCGCTCCCCCCCCCTTACTGATGTGTCCAATGCCAATGATAATGATATCTTGAACGATCCTCGTCACTACCGCTGTTCAACCGCGCATTTGCGTGCCTCAACAACTCCGAATGAAAGTAGAACGCGTGGCGCATACCGAAAATATCGACCACTTTCTCAGCACCTACTTACAATTACGCTCCCTCACCCGCGGCCACCCTATGACAAAGATCACTTCTCCATGTCTACCCCGTAGAGAGACCGTAACCGTCCTCCCACTTGTTGTTCCTATGGTTAGCTGCTCTGGCAGAAGCGCCACCACAGGAGGGGAGCTTTTTTGGAAAGTGGTGCTTAGAGGGGAGTTTTAAGCACCGCATCCCAAAGCATCGTGGCTTGGTTTTCCAATCTAGAGGGTTCCATGGGAGTAACCGGTTACTTACAAGTTGTGTCAACGGGAATGCGCCCAAGAAGGAAAGTAGCGCGTAGGTGGCCAAGAGATGGTGTTGTTCCAATATACATAGCTGTAGTCGCCATTGCGATCATAGCCGAAGCCGGTTTCCACCATCTTCTCCCCTTCCACTGGAGTTTCAGTGATAAATGGCCGCCATTCACACCGTTGCCTTCGCCTACCTGTTCGTTGGAACTGGTGAGTTGTTTGAGTGGGAAAAAATGTAATACTTGCCCTCCACCGACCACTTCGGAATGCGCCACGAACTCGACGTCATCCAGAATCGTATATGTATTGGAATGCGTAGTCACTCAATACAAGGGTTTGCGCGAATTGGCCATGCCTTGACTTCTTGTCTCTTCTGGACTTCAGTAACTGTCCTGTGGGCATCAAGGCAGTAATGGTTCTTCACTGCCAGGGCTATATGACTGTGAAAGTAGGCAGCGGCGCTCCTCTCTCGTCTGGTCTATTTTATGCATACTTCAGCGTTGGCCTATGATGGAATCGGGGAACATCATCGGGTTGTCAGAGATCCTTTTGCGCCAGATGTAGGAGTTCGGTGAGCATTTTAGTTATTCATTCCTTCGTTTATTTATTTTATTTATTTACTTATTTATTTATTTGTTCGCTTATCTTTTATTCGCCTATTCATTTATTTTTATTAATCATATACTATTTGGCCACTTGAGGATATTTTTACCAAAAATTTCTGCACATTACAGACATCCTTCGAGAACTATTGACCAGCCGGAAGCAGCGGAACCGTCGAAGAAAATACATCAGGCTGAATCAGACGGAGAAGTGTTTTCATCCGATAAGCTGGGGTTTCCAAGGAGGAAACGTTGACTGAAGAGTAAATTCTTAAACCTGAAAGTAGCTTAAAATTACGGACTTCTATAAGATCCACGACAGGGAGTACCTCAATGGCAGGAGAGTCTATTTCCTCTAATTACTCATTTACGATAGTATAATATTTACTAACTAGGTCATGCACTCTTTTAGCCAGCTCCATGAAGAATTTCAGGCACCTGTTAATTACGTATAAAGGGCTTTTCATCGTTTAGTGGCCATCTGAGGACAAAGAGGAGCGGCAGTCATCGGAAAAGCCCAGGAAAAAGGTCGAGACAACGACTGCCTACTTATGAGGAGGTCGACCCGAATCGTAATGGCCTGTTGAAGGACATCGGATCAATAAGTAAGTTATTTGTCAGAGCGGGAACTGTAGTTATGTTCGGCCTGGAATTACAGGAAAATAAAGCCTTTTTAACATACCCTTCAGACGTCGGCTTGGCCGTTGGAGTTGGCGTACCTGGCACGAGTCCATGCGGGTTGAGCAAGGGTCAGTGACTTTTCTAGTTTCGTCAGATAGAGCCTCGAATGACATACAATTAACGCAGTCGTTCTTATTGGGGCTTTAAGCTCCATTTCAAAGAAGAGGTAAGGTGTGGCTTAATGGACCTTCGCCACAAAACGCTCACGAAAATCTATACTGAACACAGAAATTGAGAGGCCTTGGTCGAAGTACAGCGTTCTTCAATAACTGATTCCGTTACCAAATTTTTCTTATTTATTTATTTATTTTTTGAAGTATTCATGTACTATGCACTACAGAGACATGGCCACAAAGAGTAAACACGGACATAAAGTTGAACTTGAGACGCGCTAAGGATTCTCACATGTGCACTATCAGTAGAATCTATTGACACTGTTGATTTTTTTTAGTGAGGTGCGGTTTTGGCGAATCTGGACTTGCAGGACAACTTCCAATTGGACAGGATATCTATCCCAGACAGGTACGATACCAGATCGCGTTATTTTTACATGAGGTCTATAATCTTCTGAGTAGTAACTGCTTATCAGAGAAGTGCGCCATTGAGTCCTGCAAAAAAGCAATTTGTCTAGAATGACCACGATTGAAATTTCACCTCATTTTGTAATTCAGTGGTGCTTGTGTAGGACACACGAAGTGCTTCCACGTGTTGACCAATCTCACTGGATCGTGCCACGAATCCGAATTCTATGCATAATTGTAGATAGAATCAAAGCAGCTACATTTGCCCATCCTCCTGCGCCCAACTAGAGTTCGCTCTCCATGTTCTAGTAATCTAAGTCCTTAGTTTGCTCCCAAATAGTAACTCCCCAAAGGCTTTGATTGACCTGGGTAAAATTTTAGCTCAACGTAAACAATAGCTTTGTTTTAAAAACACTGCTGTTGTACGCTTCTGCTGAACACAGCAATTAAGAAGGTGAAAAATGCAGTTCTTCACGTAGACCAATGCTTTCTGTGAGCGTATGATTTCCTGCCTTTCAATATGCAAAGAAAATTGTGAAAATCGAATACACAACAATGCTATGCACTGACTCGTGAGGGCCAATCCAAGAGCAAGTGAGCATTTTTACCCTTTCCAAGTTCCAAATTTGGTAGCGATCCAGTAAATAGGTTGCTTTGTTTGGGAGAGACTCGGTCTGAATTCGATTAGCACCCCATGTAGTACGTGGCGGTAACTCCAAATACTCCCTTTTGTCCAAAACCATTTCTCCTACCTAGAGAAACAATATTTACAATGGCAAAGTGCTACTCGACTCGGCCAATCGTTATGCACCTCATTCTTGATTCCGCAACAGAACTACTTTTTGAAGATCCGGTGCTATACAAGTGGGGTGGGCACACCTACGGCTTTTCACGCATGTCAAGTGACTGCCCTCACCCCCCACCCCCTAGATTGGCTACACTCCCCCTGGCTCACGAACTCCCCAATTCTCGTGACAGTATAGTAGCGAGCAGCAGTCCCACTGACATACATTTCTGTTCAAAAAATGCTGCCAGGCCCAGCCTACTTCGTATAGCATACATTATCTCTATATGACTCTAGCCAAGTTATTGTTTGACGGGCCATTCTACGTCGGAGATCCTGAACAGACTGTAGGGATTACATTAACTGGCAACGCTCATCAAAGCGAACTGACCTAACAGTGGTAGTACATTAAAAGGGGTGAGACGTTATTATTGTAAGAGCTATACTCAAAATGAGCGCTACTCTGGCACTTGCTCGTTACCCCTGCAAGTCCAAGAAGACGCTTGTATTTGATGCGTCGATGTGCGTCTTTGGAAGAAGCCTTTGAAACAGAGACTAGAAGAGAAGTCTTTAGATAGTAGGGAGACTTTTATAAAATTCGTCTTCCATTCCCGCGCTCGAGGGCTAGAGGTAGAACTACCATAGAAAGGTTCGAGTGGTATGAGAAGTTTGAGTGTGGTCGTTTGTGGTTTCTTATAAAGGGCCCCTATAGTGGGTTTCACTAACCACGGAACTTGCTCATCTTGTCACCAGCTCTAATTCTGGTCCCCATGACCTTCCATGAGTTGAAAATGCCTCATTGTACCGCCTTAACTGATAGAGTGTCCCTTTCCAATCATCCTTGAAAGGAGTACATGAGAGCTGCTCCACTATGAGGGAGAATGTGTTTCTATGTGAGCTCAAAGTTTACCCAAATGCCCGATCTGGCTAACTCAATCCTGTCCTTGTATTGTGGAAGTTGAGTTACCTCGGCTGTGACTCTCGCTGGTTATGGACTTTTCCCAATGCATAACTGCATGTGAGCTGCTGTACACCTGTGGCCTGCATTATTGCTACACTGACAGCAAATAAAAGCCACAGTACCACCGCTAGACAGAAGAACGTTCATCCAGCCGTTCGTGTTTGTTCAGCTTCTGATATTATTCAATAACAGCATCGAACGTCAATGGATCTGTTTTTCGGTCAGATACTGTACATTTCGCAATCATGAGCTTTGGCTGCGAAAAGGGCAATGTGTGGAGGCTGTGTCGCGGACATACACGCTTAATTTCTCAATATTTAGAGCCCTTTTCACCTGCACCCGTAACATTTAAGGCAGATGTCCCAACAGTTTTTTTTTTCTAAATCTGAGATAGCCTTCGCCGACGAAGAATCGTACAGAACCTAGTCCTGACAAATAGAAGGAGGGCAACTGGTGTGGAGCGTGACTTCTATAGAGCAAACTCGACGCGACAAATGTGAATCACAGGGTAACCCAATGGAAATCAGACGCTGCGTCCTTTTGTCTAACTAGGCCCATTATAATCGGTGACGGACAAGGCACGGCCTTAACGTCCTTTCCGCGCACTTTTGAGTCTGGACAGTTAGGTGACTTCTGTGCTTGGGGGCCCTCTTTCTCACCCAAGGAGGAACTGGCTCTAGGCCCCTGACCCTACCCTTGGCTTCAATAAGGTTGATAGAACAGTGGATGAAGGACAGCTTTGCAGGTAAGGACTTCGAGAAGGCTTCAGCACGGCCTGTCATGTCCACATGGGTGAGAGAATCAAAGCAGTCATTTTACGAAAGTAAAAGTCGCCGGTATGTCTCATGTCCATCGAATTGAAGAAGGGTCACACCTCATAAGCGGTCATCGAAGCCTTGAGGAATCAAGTTGTTCCTACTCAGCAGAAGAGCTCTTCGTGAGCTCTGCGGAGCAAATCAGAACGTCAACTTTTACGAGCAGAAAGGGGATTCGACTGGGCGACACCACATCGTCGAAAGGTCTCTTTGCAGTTCACCTAGCCATGCCAATTAACAAATTGATGCGCTATCGCAAGATGCGGGGGTATTGTGGTGGCAGTGAATTTGAAATCAAGACCAAGCCTCAGGCGGGGAAAAAGAGATCCAGATGCTTGAGCAATATTCTTTTTCCCGATGTTCCTGTTCAATCCAAGGCTTACTTCTTAGAGGATGCTCCCGTATCTTGCGATAGCACCCAAGCTGGATCTAAGAGTGCTTTGAGGAGTGGTGTTGAGAGGAACCCGATTTAGTGCACTGGAAAAATAATCGAGTGTAGGGTCTCGAAGTTTCCAGAATATGAATCAAGGCATATAGTGAAGTGGCGCTGTCATGGTGTTAAAACTCGGCAGTGCCCATAAGTATCGGCCGATCCTATCCATGTGCTTCGAAAGGTGCAACGTGGCCTACCTTAATCTCCAGATCTGCTCTATAGCAATTCTAGCCTCACCCATTAAACCACCGCCCCTAACCTTTTTCCTTCATCCGCATCCCAAGTGGGCCTCATTGAATTCCACCCATAAGGGGCGGAATGATAGGAATGGATCTGTACCTATGCATACCTGCTCAGAAGTTAGGTGCTGAAAATCTACAGCTGCATTCCAACTTTTCTCCCCAGGTAACCTTACCCACCTGGAAGACGGCGAGGGTAAGGCTCGAAAGGTTTTAACTTCTTGAATAAATCGCTCACCGTGACTTTATGTCCTGCAGGTTCCTCTGTAGTAGTGATATGGGAGGTAGGGCTTTACTCACGTACAAATGGTAAGCAGCAGACGGCAGGTAATCGCACTCAGGTTACCTGCGGCACCACTACTTAGCATTTGTAAATGCTCGTGAGGGTTGCTGACAGCAGGGAGGGGTACGGTGACGGATAACCGTAGAAAGGGCGACAGGAAGGATCCAAGCAGCAGAACAGTCAGCACCACTCGCCACAGTGAATTCGACGACGACTGGATGTCCAGTGAATATAGGCGGGCGTGTCCCTGAACAATAAGCTTTGTAATCAGAGTTTATTAAAATTGTAAAGTACATTTTGAATTTGGCTTTGACATAGCGGTTACGGCGGCACCAACATGGCAGGCCCGCTCACAGTATGTATTAGGCACTTTTCATTTTAGCCCACCTAAACCAGTTAACATTCAATTTTGAGGGGCTTCATACAGGCTTCGTGATGACTCTCCGCTTACAACCCGTCAGTTATTCTCAAATTGAAGCACAAAGGGTGATTCCACGATAAGCTCGGAGGACGAAGAAGAGAAGATATACTTCGTCGAGAAGCAGG